CTTTTTGCCTGCACATCACTCGACGATCTCAATATCAATAGAGCCACTGAACATATCACTCAGCACATTTTACAAGCTGCCATTCTCTTCCATCCCCATGACGTCCTCGCATCCACCCAGGAGACCAAAGCCCTGCAGGTGGAACAAAGATTTCCGTTTGGCCAAAAAGAACAAAATCGAGCGTTGGGTATATTTAGGCGCTACCTTACAACACACAATCTTATTGAATTTGAGAGAAAAAGGTCCCAGGCGAGGTGGATTAGAAGACAAGCTAAGAAAAACATCTTAGAGGGTACGCTTCTTCAATTAACAGCACTGTATCTGCGAAGGAAGTCTGGGATCGCGTACATAAAATTGACGGCTCTTACCGGGCATTCACTATCCCACTCTTGAGTCGGAATGGAGTTTGTCCTGCAAGCCTTGAGGAACTGGCTAACATCATCGGTGAGCACTTCGAGTATGTCTCCAGTTCCGAACATTACATCCAAACGTTCCTGTGACACAAGATCAATGCAGAAAAAAAAAAAAAAGCTGTTATCACATCAGGGCCCGTTTTCTCGAACGCGAACCGTGGTTTAAAGTTAACTATTGTCCCTAGAAGGGGGAATTGCAGGTCACGTGACTGGGAGAGCAGGGTGCTGAGGGAGGAGCAGTACCTAGAAGCAAAATGGCCGCGGCGTCGCTTAATGAGGGCTAATAGTTCTGCTTGGTTCTGCTGAACATTCATTTCGATCTGGCTGTTATATTAATGACTCGTCATCAACCTATTAGCTCGTCAAGCAAAGTGATAGTTCAGAGGGACTACTAAACTAACCGACGGCAGCATTCCGCGAACGCATCACTCTTATGCAGTCCGGGATCTAAGACATATGACGGTACATAAGCCTTGCAAGTGTTTTTATGGTGAGTAAAAAAATGTTTTGCGAACGAGTGTTGGTATATATTTATACTAAGACGTTTAATTTGTTACACTATGCACGCCAACTCGTGAGCAGCGATTACTTTGCGGAAAAAGGGGGTTATCCTCAATAAAGTCTTCGTTCCGGGTGAAGAGCTGAGACATTGTACTGTTTTTTTTTTTTTTTTGTTCACAGTGCGCCGACAGTATGCCGACAGCATCGAGGTTTGTACATATCCCCCGTGGCCAGCAATTCAACGGTGAATCGGTTGGGCAAACGGAAGAGAGGGCAAATTTGCGTCACAAGGAACGAAAACGAGACTACAGCACCGGCGTTGCCAGACTGGAAGAAACACGGGAAAGTTACGCGTTGTTTATGGCGAAACATATTGAAGGAAATGTTTCTTACATTTTCGAATATACGTCGACAAACTCTAGCATAGTAGCTAAAATTTCTTCGTACCATCGGAAGCAAATAAATTGGTCTTCAGGTATAACATTCCTATATTTTGACTTAAAATACGATACTAGATCGATGACAACCAGCGGAAAAAGATGATAAACAAAATGACTGGCTTGTTTCACCGATAGATGACGCATCTTATTGCCCAATCAAAAATAATTATTGTTGTTCTATATCCAGCCGTTTATTACAGTACCTAGGTACTTTTCCCTTCCTAGGCACCGTGGTTTACCAAAATGGGTTTACCATCGCTTCGAGAAAACCGGCCCAGGTGGCACGCGCGAAACCTATAATACCCTATTTACATTATATGAACTTCAAATAGCACTTCTTTGTTCCAAACAAACTGCCCCTGGACCAGATGGTATTCATTATAAATTGCTCGAACATCTTCATCCATCCACTATGGAGCTAATTTTGTACCTTTTTAATAGAGTTTGGCTCGAGGGCCACTTTCCGTCCTCCTGGAAGATCGTTGTGGTTGTACCAGTGCTGAAGCCCGGCAAAGATCCCTCTTGTGCATCTAGCTACAGACCAATAGCTCTAACTAGCTGTCTTTCCAAGACATTAGAAAGGATGATTAACAAGAGACTCATGTTTTTTCTAGAACGAAATTACTGAATTGATAAGTTCCAGTGTGGCTTTCGTTTAGTACGGTCCACTGTCGATCATCTCGTCCGCTTGGAGACCTTCGTGCGTGAGGCGTTTGTCAACAGGCAACAGTGTCTTTCCATCTTTGATTTGGAAAAGGCATACGACACGGTCTGGCGTTACGGCATACTGCAAGATTTATTCGATATTGGTTTCCGTGGCCGAATGTTGAGTGCTATACAGAGTTACCTGCAGCACCGTACCTTCCGCGTGAGACTGGGGAAAACTCTCTCTAAGGAATTTTTACAGGAGAATAGAGTCCCTCAGGGAAATGTACTGAGTGTCACTCTTTTTATCGTCGAACTCAATTCCATTGGCCGTGCAATTCTTCCTTCGGTACAATATTCTTTATATGTTGATGATCTCCAGATCTCCGTTTCATCCTGTAATCCCTCAATTTGTGAACGTGGCGTCCAACTTGCGATCAATATTTTGGTCAGATGGGCCGATACGAATGGTTTTAAATTTTCTCCCGAAAAAACAGCTTGTGTCACCTTTTCTCGTCAATGTGGTGCTCTTCAGGAACCGTCTTTGAATATGTATGGTTCTCTTATTGTTGTAAAAAATGAACACAAGTTTTTGGGCCTTGTGTTCGATTCCAAGTTGACTTTCGTTCCACACATTAAGAGCTTAAAATTGAAGTGCCTTAAATCTCTGAACATCCTTAAGGTGTTGTCACATGTATCATGGGGTTCTGACCGACTGTGTCTGTTGCGTATCTATCGCTCAGTCATTCGCTCTCAGCTTGATTACGGTTGTATTGTCTATAACTCTGCTCGCGCATCCATTCTAAAGATGTTAGATCCTATTCATCATCAAGGACTGCGATTGGATACCGGTGCATTTCGTACCTCCCCAGTGCTTAGCCTTTACGCGGAAGCAAACGAACTGTCCTTTGAGTATAGGAGGTTTTTCCTGGGTTTCATGTACTCTGTCAGGGTGCGCTTGGTCGCGGAGCGCACCCTGACAGATATAGCTCCATGGAAGCTCCATGGATTCGAGATAATATTGAGACTATCAAGTTCCAACGCACATTTGAAAACGAACCTTCCATAGTCCCCCCTTTTTCTATGAGGAATAATACTGCAGCACAATTTGTTTGGATGGATGCAAAGCCTCAGTTAGTCCAATACCCACCAGATATAGCTCCATGGAACAACTGCCACATACATTATGACCTTACACTGACCAAGTATAACAAAAAAAGATATTCCACAGGAAGTCATAAGACAGGACTTCTTTGAGCTTCAGACCAGATATCACGAGTATGCCAGTTTTATACAGACGGGACAAAAAAAGACTCGATAGTAGGCTGTGCTATGGTGGGACCATCGGTAAATCAGGTGAAGAGAATAACTTCAAAAGCCTCTATACTAACAGCAGAGCTTTATGGTTTGCTGCTGGCTGTTGATTACATAATCGAACAACGCCTTTCTCACGCTATAATCTACACCGACTCTTTAAGCTCTCTGAAGGCAGTCACATCGATGAACCGTGTAAAAAACTTACTGGTTTCCGAGTTAAACTACAAGATTATCCTGGCTGCAAGGAAAAATCTTGACATAGTCTTATGCTGGGTTCCTAGCCATGTTGGCATTCCTGGAAATGAAGCAGCTGATAGTGCAGCCAGCTCTGCTAATGATAGAGAAATTGACAGACACCAAATACCCGACAAAGATTACCACAGCTCTCTTAAACGTTGCATCAAAGCAAAGTGGCAGCTTTAGTGGAACAGCGAAACCGGCAATAAACTACACGCAATCAAGCCTTTTCTGGGCGAGTAGGAGAGTGCCCGACATCGGGAGCGCTTTTATGAAGTCACACTCTGTTGGTTACGAATCGGTCATACTCGTCTCACACATGGACACTTCTTGAGCGAGGAGGATGCCCCTGAATGTGTGCACTGTAACCTACCTATTATGCACATACTCATTGAATGCCCCATGTATGATCAATGCCGGTATAAACACTTCTCGCTGCTTTATAAAGAACACATTCCACTACACCTTGCCCTAGTGCTAGGTGACGAACCGCTCATTCCATATAGTTGTTTTTAATTTCCTCACAGATATCGGCCTTCTACACCGACTGTGATTTTACTTTCTATCCTAGATTCATTATCATATTGTTTACACTTATACACATTCATGTTCATGGTTTTATCATATACTCCGCTACTATAGCTCTTTCCTCTTAAACCCGAATTGCAATAGTCTAAGCTTGGCGCAATATAGCCTTAGATGCTGATGCGCCATCAGGGATGGGCAAGATACATGCAAATATGTATCGAAATACAAATACAAAATACTTCGTCAAAAATGTATTTAATTACAAATCTAATTATATTTCCAAAAAAGCATTTAAGTACAAGATACAAATACAACCAAATGTATTTGATCTCCTCCAAATACATTCCCCAACATATGCGTCAGCGACTTCAGGGCACCTGCAACGGGTTTCTGGGTATCTCACTTTAATTTTGCATCGCACACTCGGCAGTTAGTGTGCGGGCTCTAGTAACATAATAGAAATATAATAAACAAAATGTGTAATCAGCTTGGACGTAATAGGTGAAAAAAGTACAGAGCTTCAAGCAGCTTTTTTTGTGGATTACATTTTGGTATAGATCAACACAGAACCGAGACGACTAAGACGCGCAGCACTAGCTATAAAATTTAATATTGTTGCAACTCGCACAAGTTACGAAAATCTGACGACCCGCGCATTTAGATTGTTCCAGGCAAAAATATGGATGGAAATCAGGCTGGAAAGCATCACAACTTGTCACAGGCACTTATTTAACCAGTCTGCTTGTGAACGTAGATTTAGTAACGATTCTTGCCCTAAGTTGTATCAGCGATTTTGTATTCTACGCTGGCCTTGTCAAGTATCAGCAGTGCGGAGCGCACGTTATCGCCTGCCGTGATCAGCAGCGCCGCCGGGTAATCTTTTATTCGTTTTTACTTATATAAGAGATACGCGAACTGTATGTACAGCAGATGCTGTCTGGCAATAAACGTGTTGAAACAGACTGCGTTGGGCTACGTAACAGATGGCGACGAAGATGGGATCGTGAAGCTAGACCAGTCAGACGCAATGACGTCCTCCCTAGGAAAGCTGGCAGAGTTCTGCCCGGACACAGGCAACATCGACGCCTATCTCGAAAGGTTCGAGCTGTTTTCAAGTGCCAACGGAATTGACGCCAGTAAGAAGTTGCCAGTCTTCTTGACAGTACTAGGAGAAAAGGCTTACGTGACGCTACGCAGTCTGCTGTTGCCGAACACGCCCACCGAGGTGAAGTACGAAGATGCGGCGAAGGTACTGCAGCAGCACTACGCACCGAAACGGTCCGTGGTTACCGAGCGGTACCACTTCTATCGGCGACACCAGGAGCCAAGTGAGAGCATCGCACAATTTATCGTGGCCCTGAAAAGACTGGCTTCGACGTGTTCCTTTGGAAACTTCCTTGAAGACGCTCTTCGAGACCGGCTGATTGCCGGACTGCGGACGGACGCCATCAGGTGCCGTTTTTTTGCGCTACCGGACAACGAGGTCGCATGGGAGCGAGTCTGCAACATCGCCACTGCCATGGAAGCAGCTCAAAAGGACACCAAGGACATGCTGGGTGACACCGCCGCCACAAGCTCCGAGGACGTGCACTGGCAGCGGGGCATCGGCAAGCCACGCAAGCCGGACGCGACAAAGCAACTAGCAACAAGCAGCGAGAGGTCAGCCGCCAGAGAGGTACAGTGCTAATCACACTTGTCTATAACGTGCGAGCGTGCGGCTTTCTCCGGAGAGCGCTAGACTGGTGGCATTCGTTGTAACTAAGCTAGTCATGTGGCGCAACATAGAACGGCCAGCTCGAGGGGTGTCCTGCCCACTCTATCAGCTGGCGGCGAATGCGGAAGTCTGCTCGCACAGTTTTTACAAACATCATTGCTCGAACAATAAACAAACTAAAGCATGGAGGCGTATCAACGATGTCGTCATCAAAAAAACAAAAATATATCATAAAGCACTTTACTTTTATCGCTTATCAAGCTGATAGAGTGGGCAGGACACCCCTCGAGCGGGCCGTTCCATGTTGCACCACGTGACCAGCTTAGTTTCCGCGAATGCCACCAGTCTAGCGCTCCCCGGAGAGAGCCGCACGCTCGCGCGTTATAGACAAGTGTGATTAGCACTGTACCTGCCAAGAAAGACCAACCAAAAACTGTTCGCGCTTGTCATAGATGTGGTGAACAACATGCACCTGAGAGTTGCCCTTTCTTGACTAGCCGCTGCTTTAAGTGTTCAAAACCAAGACACGTAGCCAAAATGTGTAAGACAAAGGTTGTGCACAAGGTTGAGGAGACAGTGAAAGAGAAAAATTTGCTTGCGAATTGTAAAGCGAACAATGCTAGAAGACCGCCTCCCATCGTTGTTAGGCTGAGGTAGAACGGTAAAGAAATTCCAATGGAATTCGATACCGGGGCTGCTGTGACTATAATGTCAGAAAAAGAATTTTCCGAGCATTTCCCAAATACAGCATGCCGGAACGAAGATGTCAATCTCGGAATGTACAATGGTACTTCCATTGGCGTAAAGGGAGTTGCGCAGGTAGAAGTTAGCTATGGAAATCAAACCTATCACTTGCCACTCGTCGTTGCGAGACAGGAAAACGGTGCTAGTACGCCGGCTCTTCTGGGTCGTGACTGGCTCGCGAAAATTAAGATAGACCTGCATGACGCCGTGCAGAATCTACGCGAAGTTGTGCTTAACGTACAAGCCGTAAGAAACACGGAAAAAGGGGAGGCAGAAAAATGCCTAAAAGAGCAGTATGCTGACATGTTTGAGCACGGGTATAGAGCTATCAAGGGTTCCAAAGGTAGCCTTAGGTTAAAAGCCGACGCAAATCCCGTTTTTTGTAAGGTGAGACCTGTTCCATATGCTTTGCGCGAGCAGGTGCGAAAAGAATTGGCACTTACAAAAAGCCGGTGTCATTTACCGGGTCAGGCACAGTACGTGGGCCACGCCTCCAGTGATCGTGCCGAAAAGTGGTGGCAAAGAAATAAGGATATGTGGGGACTACAGAGTAACCAGGCCATTGAAGTGGACCACTATCCTTTACCACTTCCTGAGGACATCTTATCCATCTTGAAACCAAGTCTTGAGGCCAAAGTTATGGCCAAATCGGAGAGGGAGGTGTGCCGAGCAAATAAGCGGTCGTGACCTGCCACGTGTGTTTTGCGCTGGTGATTCTGTGCTTGTACGTACTGTCCGTGGTGAGATTGTGAAGTGGCGCCCGGGAAAAATCGTTAAAGTCCGCAATGACGTACTTGGTAATGGTTGACAAACAAAAGCGCTTTGTACACGCGGATCGCTGCGGCGTTCCTCACTAAAGCCTGAGCATGATGATGAAGCACGTAGTGACACTGAGTTGCCACATGCCAGTGATATGTGCGATACTGAACGTCATGTTGCATTTCCTGAAAGAGCTCCATCGCCAGGACCATGTGATGACGCGCCGGTGCCTAGGCGAAGCACGCGTGTGACCCGGAAGCCGGAAAGGTTGATGTACAGTGCTAATCACACTTGTCTATAACGCGCGAGCGTGTGGCTTTTTCGGGGGAGCGCTAGACTGGTGACATTCGCAGAAGCTAAGCTAGTCACGTGGCGTAACATAGAACGGCCCACTCGAGGGGTGTCCTGCCCACTCTATCAGCTTGATAAGCGATAATAGTAAAGTGCTTTATGATATTTTTTTTTTGGTGACGATATCGTTGATGCGACGTCATGATTTAGTTTGTTTATTGTTCTAGTAGTGATGTTTGTAAAAAGCGTGCGAGCAGCCTTCCGCGCTCGCCGCCAGCTGATAGAGTGGGCAGGACACCCCTCGAGCGGGTCGTTCCATGTTGCACCACGTGACCAGCTTAGTTTCCCCGAGTGCCACCAGTCTAGCGCTCCCCGGAGAAAGCCGCACGCTCGCGCGTTATAGACAACTGTGATTAGCACTGTACGATAAACTGTAGAAGCTTAGAGTAATATAGTAAACGTAAAGCGAGGACACGGGAGCCGATTCGCGGCCCAGATAGTGCGTTTAATACCCTCCGCTACGTGGCGCTTTTCTGCAATTTGGTTAAAATTAATTAAAACTCTTTCTGTGGAAAGTATTTATTTTTTAAATGGCAATGCTTTAAAATTGTTTAAAGTACATAAAACGACTAAATAGTTTAAAATGAATACGTCACAAAAACCACGTGATAAAAGGCGCCTGCCATGGCCTGCCTGCCTGCACGCCGTCGCCTCTGTTCGTCCCTGCGTCGTTCGTCTGGGCCGTGCGTGCCGTCCATCTGTGCTTTCTGCTGCATCATGTTCTGTCGACTTTGCATCAATCAAGGTGACGCATGGCCGCCCGTGTGCTCGCATGCTCGGCGTGAATTCGTGGGGCCGATCGGTTCGAACTTCTCGCGCCGGGCTGTCTGGTCGCACTTGAACGTGTGTGCATGTTGATTTTCGATGAGATTGTTTTAAAAAAAGAATCTAACTTACGACCCTGCACACGACATTGTCCATGGGTTCACAGATGACGGTGTTGAACGAACCTCTAACATTGCAGATAGAGCCTTGGTTGTTACGCTGTCTAAAATTTCCCGGAGATGCGTTTAGCCCCTTGCATACACTGTTGCGCACACTTCAACAACGTCTTCTGTTTAACGCAGTCTCCTCATTTCTCTCATTCGGGAGCTTAAAGGGGTGGTGCAATGATATTCAATTGGAATGTTTTTCACTTTACACGAGCTTACATGCACTAGTGGGACTCAAGGATACTCGCACGCAACGACACTGACCAAGAAACTCCTTTGTTGCGCTGTAATTTCGAGGACAAAACCGAGTGTTTTCATTCAATCTCCCCTTCGAAAAACCTGATGACGTAGCTGGGCGGTAGCAGTACCGCCCAGTGACGATATTTGAATACGGCTCATAGATTGGACCCGAGCATGGCGTGGACACTCGATTTGGGCTCGTGATAATCAATAGCTCGAGAAACATTCGGGTAGTGCCCTGTGTCCAATCGCTGCAATGACGACAACAGCCGAACCATAACAATGTCTGGAACTCAGCGCGTGTCCTGTGCCATGCCAACTCCAGCGCGTGGCTATGATCAACATTGGTGGCATATAATCGGCTCCAGATCACGGGGCCGCTTGTTCTGGCTGCGAGTTGAGGGGTGAACTCTGCCAACACCACCTAGACAGAAGGCCTCCGCATGGTTTCCTCCTCTTCTATGAAACGTCATCACAGTCGGATCGCGCTCGGTCGGCTATTGGACCCGAGCCCGACCTACGACGCGCTGATTGGCCACGAGCCGCAGCCGAACACTGACGCAGCACTCGTGCCCAATCTCTCGCCTCGATCGAAATGACTATGATGACGCGTGTGGAGGCCTTCTGTTTAGGTGGTGTTGACTCTGCTCGTTTTTCTTTATTTTTTTTTCTCTGCGACTTCGATTGCGTGTGGTGAAAACGAACGGGTATTTCACAGATCATTAACGTCAGGGATTCGTCCTCAGCGATATTTGAGCAAAATACAAATATCAGTGCATCGCCCCTTTAAAGGGACACTGACAGGGTATTTATGCTCACCGAGGTTTTTAGTTGTACGTGACATATGAGAGCTCAACTACCCAGAACGGAATTTGCGGCTCGAAATTCGGTTTCTTTCCGCCCGAAAACTGCCGATCAAGAACTTGCCGGTTCGAGTCTCGCTCACTCTCTTTTTCGCGGTCACGGGCCGTTTTCTAAGGTACCGATGCGACCACCAAATTTAATCAAGGTCGTGGGTCACTGAAGGCACACACTGAATATTAAAAATACAAAAAAATGTGAAACCCATTTTTTGTGGCTTCTAAAAAGCTGTAAATACGTTGTTTGAAAAAAAAAGTTCCACAGACAACCGGAAGCATTCTGTGCGTTCGTCGTTTCGCGTATCGTGGGACTCGCGGGGACGGCGATGGCAGCGAACGACGGGCGTGGGACCTCTATTTCAGAGCTGTCCGCGGTACCGGCGAATTCTGTCTACCGTTAAAAGAGAAATTTGGGACTGATCAAAAGAATTGGTATTCATCCCGTACGACACGCCCGGCCACCAAGCAGATTTGCACGAAGACGTCGCCGAGCCGTCGCTCCCTTCTCGTGGCTGAAGACATCGCTCGCGCAAACGTCAAGCACGACGTGTCTACTTCGAGTTGAATATGCACGCGTACGATTTCTTTACTATGTGCGAATGTCCCCAAAGCGTGGTGCTTCCCGACTTAACCTTTTTTTTTTTTTAACAAAAAAATATATTTTATGTTTGTTATATATTTTAAGAAATCAATAATTGAATTTAGACGTTTGTGCGAATTCAACACGCTGTTCAAAAAGGAAAAGAAGTAACTTTTTTTTTGTTACACCTCTTCAAATGCCTTTTGTATCTAGGTACATATATCTCATTGCACACGTATATCCTTTCGGCCTATACACATATCTCATTAGTCGCAAAACCATAGTTTAGAACCTTTAAATGTATACCACGAAAACAACTCAGTCCGTCTCGGAGGCGAACCGAGTCCATCAAACCTCACACACTTTGTTTGTTTGTTTGTTTGTATTTTTTTGCTTTTTATTGTCTAATGCACGTTAGGCACCTAGGGTTATTGTCTAATGCACGGCGAGCAGTTCCCGCACGCCGCATCGCACGCCGCATGTCGTGTCGTCTGCTACGGAGAGGAGAAAAAATAAAACAAAAAAACGCACG